CACTTAGAGTTGGTTCTATTCACCTTATTTTCACTTATTTCGGGTGTAATAAATTTAGATAAGTGGTGTTAAAAAAAAACAGTAAGGTAAGTTCTGATTAGGGTTAACCATGTACAAATAAATTACAACTACAATAAGTTTTAATAAGCTCTAATAAGTTCAAATAAGTGATGATAAGATAAGATAAGTTCAAATAAGTGAAAATTAGGTGAATAGAACACAATATTAATTAACTTGCTTTATTTCACACATAAGGTATAATTATGAGAACAACTAAATTTCGATGACAAAGATTGGTGAGCCAATGAGGCATTATGAAGGATGGTATAACCGCATAAGTTTACTCTTAATTTTCCTTTTGTGATGCGCGCTCATTAAATTTCCTTTTGTGAAGCCCATTAAATTTCCTTTCACATATAAGAGATAATTAGGTGAATAAAACACACTCTAACCTTGCATCATTTTCCTAAATGTTCCATACATGCAATAACAGTTGCAAGATTGTCGTGTTAGTGTAGTCAATTTTAATTTTATCAATCACAAAAAGATTCAAAATCCAATATTTCTTTTTGGAATAATATCCATTCCGATTCAAATCCGGAAAAGTTTAGGTAATAGTCAACAAACATATATACTACATACGTAATAGATTGTGTTTAGTCCTCGTTTAGTTCGTTCTGGAAATTTCAATTTGGATCGCCGATACGAGACATATATGTTGTATTTATCAAAACATGAACTCATTCCAAATTATGCTGAACTGTATAAATCTTACTTATTCGCTAATTTTTGTTTCCCGGTGTTCATTAATCAAGGTTTAATTGACTAATAAATAGCTAGCTAGACTCTACCTTTCAATATCTAATGAAATGTTTATTTAATTATTAATTACTTAACCTTAAAAATTCGAAACCACATCAATTAATACATTTTACAAAAAAAAAAAAAAAAAAAAAAAAAAAAAAGGAACAATATTTGAAATAAGGATATTTAATTTAAAGATTTAAGTTGAAATTGTGAAGCAAAAGACAACTTTTTCTCTATACTTCTGTGAAAAAACATACGAAGTACATATTTTAGGAGGATGATGCTCTACACTAGCATTAATGTTTACTTGTCTATATAAACGAACTCCTTCGCCCTACTTTCTCAATCACTTCAATTCACCATACATTTCATATAAACTTGTTCACATTTTTTTTATATTCTAACTTCTAAGCATACATTTTCATCATTCTTGTATGTTCATCTTCATCATCATCGTCATGGATCGATTTCTCAATCATCTCTAACATCATTAATTCTATACTACATTTTTTATCATCTTCTGAAGTTTCACCAAAAAGAAACACATTACAACTCTGCATTTATTTGAGAAAAGGAAAGGGAAACATGTATAGGGTAGACGTGGAGAACATGTTAAGAGAATACTCCAACGCCTACGATAACCGAACCCGATACCCAAACCCGTTTGCTGATACAGACTTTGAACCCGATAACTTCGAGTCAGATGAGTTCAGAATGTACAGCTTCAAGGTCAAGAGGTGCCCTTTGATGAGGGCACATGACTGGACCATCTGCCCGTACGCCCACCAAGGCGAACGGGCTAGAAGGCGTGACCTAAAGAAGGTGCTCTACGTGGCGGTTTCCTGCCCGGACTATCGGGCCTCAAGCGGAAACTGCCCAAGAGGCGAGCTTTGCGAATACGCCCACGGTGTGTTCGAGTACTGGCTCCACCCAACCAAGTACCGAACCCGGTTTTGCAATGCAGGTAACCGCTGCACCCGTCCAATCTGCTTTTTCGCCCACTCGTTGAAGCAACTTCGAGCTGAACCAATGGCCCACATTCCTAAGTGGGTCCGACTAGCCCTCCGTACTCAACAACTTGATTTACAGGCCCCGCCTGTTAAGCCATCATTGTCCGCCACTAGTGCTGCTACTCGCATTAGCAGCACTAGTGGCGGACGTGAGGTGGGTGTGATTGGACGCCCTAGGACGTCCAATACGGCTCCCACGCCCACCTCGGCTTTATGGGAACTTCAACTTGCTAGTAGTAGTAGTACTACTACTAGTAGTAGTGCCCCACCAAGGGAAAGGCCTCAAGAATTAAAATTGGAGTTTTTGGAGACTCTAAGAATGCTTAATCTTAGTGACTACTACAAGGTCTACAATAACAATCAAGTGGAAAACAACAACGTTAATAGAGAAAATGGGTCGAGATTTGATTGGGTGTCGGATTTGTTGGCTGGTTGAAGGTTGGAATTGAAGATCAAATGATCGATCGGTTTAAATGTAAGGTAAACAACAAATTAAATAATTCTAATATATACTAATTAATTAGGGTAGAAAATTTAGGAGATTTTATATAGCTTATTTTTCTACAACTTGTGTTTGCAAGATCCTAGCTTATTTATACTAAAGTTTCTTCTTGCTAGTTACTAATAACATTTTCTTTTAACATTAATTTAATTTTTGAATTACAGGATGGTTGTTATGCTGGTTGTTCTTTAGCGTTTAATTAAAAAGGTAGGTGTAACAGATTTGGTAAAGCTGGATATGGAAGAAGGGAAACAAAGATGCAGTTTTTACGTGTGAAGATAGGCATGTATTCATGCATGGCATGCATGTAATGTAGGTCGTGGCCCTCTTGATGACTCACTTCTTCATGTTTATTACATCTTACATGACATTATAATCATGTATCGTATGTGTATTGTAATTCCGTCACTAGTTTGTAATTATCTTTTCGAATTTCCATTAATAATATAATGTACGTAATGTTTTCATGGGTTACAACTTACCTATACTTAAGTTTTGAGTTATTCTTCTGATAATTGTGTCCGCGCGAACAAATTAAATTGATAGTTAAGAAGCAAAATAAATGGTTCCAATTATCTAAGTAGCTTCTATGGTCTCTTGGGATCTATGGGAAGCACCTCATCTGTTGTCTTTTCTGGGTTTAACTAAGTTAAAAATTCTTTAGAATTGAAGGCTATAATTCACGTTTTTGGACCAATTTTTGTGAAAAATCCAAAATTAAATTAGAATGCAAAGTATCTTTTGGGATCATTAAAGTTTGTCTGGAACCATTAAATGTCGCACAAAAGGTTTATAAAGTCTCGAAAATGAGTTAACTTCAATGACATGACTAAATGGAAATTTTGTTGAAATGGTAGTCAACAGTTGTAAGCAATGGTTATTAATCTTTCATCGGGTTATCACACCTTTTTTTTGTTATTGGTCGTTCAAAGTGATGTATATATGTTACACCGACCCTTTTATATGTTCTTCAAAGACCAGTTTGGGAGATATGATCAAAACTCCATGTCGAAAAATCAAGTGATTGGGGTGTATCTAGTCGCCATATAAAAGATCGTTTGAACCCATGTACGCCCACAGTCACGGGCTGGGATCACCTTGACTATATTTTGTCCACAACCATCTAATTAAATTGGTCGTTAGGAAACAAATTAAATTAGATGGCTCCAACCTTCAAAGTAGGCTTTCAACATCTCGTGAGGCCCATGGAAAGCACTCTGTCTTCTATCCTTTTCGGATCCGAAATAATTGAAATTCTCTAATATTAAAGATTATTATAATCCACACTTTTGAACCACTTTCGAAAATTTTACTGAAATTAAATTGGAAGTTGGAGGCCAGATGTCTTATGAGATCATAAAGTTGTTTTTGAAGCCATAATATACATATACTTAGGTTTATAAAGTTCCGAAAATGATTTAAGTTCAATAACATACATGGCTATCTGGAAAATCATTGTTAATTTAGAGCGATAAGGTTGCCAATGGTTCCAATAACCAATAAGTAGCCATTTTGTGAACCTATTAAGGTGTTGGAATCCTTCATCGGGTTGTCACACCTTTGTTGATGTTGGTTGTTTATTTAGAGCGATAAATACTTACACTTGGCCATTTTCTATGTTCATCGGAGGCTAAATACCTACTAATAACTATCAATTTAGTTGGTTTCGGACACGATTCCCGTCGTATAGTATATGATTCCCCCATTACTCAACACGGGTCTCAAATCTCCAAAAATGATCTGAATACGTGTATAATAATCTTTCAATTGAAGAATTTCCAACACCTTAATTGAACCATGAAATGCCTAGTACAGTATTGGTGATTGGGACCATCTTTTACAAATCTTGACCACCATTTCAATAGATTTTACAAGCACCCATGGCATAGGACTTAACTCAATCGGGACTTTATAACCCTTTTGTACACTATTATGATTTTAAACCAACTTTTATTATCACAAAAGACATCTCACACTTCCAAATTTCCAATTTAATTTTAGAAAAAATTTCAAAATTGGTCTAAAAGATGGAAGACGAGGAGCTTCCTGTGGATCCCATTGCATGAGACCCAGGGAGGCTACTATGATTGTTGGAACCATTAACTTTGCTTCTTAAATATCAATTTAAGAGTGAATAGCATCCCATAGTCTTGAGGTATGTGTTTCAAAAAAGTTAAAAATTGCCTAAAATTGAAGGCTATTCAGTTTTAGACCAATTTCAAAGAAATTTTTCCAAAAATTAAATTGAAAGTAGGGTGTCTTCTAGATGTTTGGAAGCATAATAGGCCTACCAAAAATTTATAATCGAGGAGAAGTTAAGTTCAATGAACAAATTTAATACATGTTTAAATTGGTTGAATAGGGTATTAGGGTGTGTTAAATTAGTTGGATGTTACCTTGATTAAATAATGTCTTTAACACTTTCTTATTGCGCACTTCGTACTATAGCTAGCTATATTAGCTACTAGTCTACTAATACGAAGCATTATTAAAAGAGTAGTTTAAAATTACAATCTACTAATTAAAATCCGACAACATCATGCTTAAGATGTGAACATGAAAGAGTAGCATTTTGCGCCAATCTAATTAACTTTTTTTTTAACCATCTAATTAACTTAGCTAAACTATCAAAATTTAACGTTATTCATTCAAAAGAGCTAATTAACAATATGAAATGCACATGATAAAACCACAGAAATTAACCATAACTAAAAGGGGAATGAAATTCAACATACCAAAAAAAAAAAAAAAAAAAAAAAAAAAAAAGGCACAATTACAAACTAATTAAAGCACAATCTATAAACCCTCAAAATAAATACTTCAATTATTCCCCCAAAACCTAACCATACCCCCTCATCGATCACCAGGCCATTTTCTTCGATCCGACGTCAAAGTTCTTATTGAAGGCCATAAACTTCAACTTAGCTAGCTAGGTAGCACCATCCAACAACGAACCTTAATTATTTATACTTGGAAATCAAGAACTCTGCTGAGTAGCATGAGTTCCTCCGGTTGCCTGCTGAACAAAGTGTTCACCCTTTTCTCTAGCATCCCTCGTCTTACCCGACAGCTTCATCCTCGCTTGCTCCAACTGATCAGACCCGGGCGGGTGGTGTCCCGTCATGTACCTGTATATCCAAGCCAACACCGACAACGCCGCGACCCCGAACCCACCCGAGGACAAAAACCCACAGATCAACAGCACAACTGTGATGGCTGCTGGCACCAACACCGGGCTGAATATCACCAGCAACGGCGTGGCTATAGTCAAGGCAATCACGGTTCCTGCTAGCGTTAGTGCGGAAAGTACTAAGAGCGATCCGCCTGCTGTTATCGCGGTGGCCGCCTTGATCACCTGATGAGCTCGTGGCTGCTGCTGCTGCCCTGGGTACTGGCTCGAGGTCATGTGCTGACCACCGTGTTGCATGTAATCTGCCATTTTTACAGATGATATAGTAAAACTTGTACGCGTATTTAAATGGAAAACTTGATAGAATGTAAGATGAACTGAGGATGGTTTGTAAAAGGTGTGAAGATGGTTTATAAAGGAGAAGGAGGGGGCACGTGGAGAACAGAGGAGAGGCACGTGTTGGGTAGCTTATCATGCAGGAATTGCATGTTAGTGTGTGTGGTAATTGTAGGAAGGTAACACGTACCCATTTTTGTCATAACAATGTTCACTGTATATAAACCTACATTATTGTATACTGCCACAAATCATCAAGTATCCAACTTTCCTATGCTTTGTTTTTATCACGCATTTTTTATGCTTTACTTATTAATTCCAAGTTTTTTAAGTTAGTTTTGGTTATGTAGCACTCATTATAAAATTATTTCGGCTACAATTCACATTCACATCTAAACCGTTTACAGGTTATTTAAAAAAAAATGCAAATACTTCCTCCGTTTCTCAAATATTGCAATATAGGAATGAGACACGGACTTTAAGAAAAGAGAGATACTTTCTCTGTTCTTTTTTACTTGACCTGCTTTGACTTTTACACTATTCACCATCATTCCTTTCACCGTATTTGTGAATTATATGTAAGAAGAAACATATGTATTGGAATCTTGTTCTAATCGTCTCAATATGTACTATCATAATATATAACTTTTATAATTTTTATTTATAAAGAAATAAAGTTATTGATGGTTAAAGTTGTGCATCGACAAGTGTGATAAAAGAAACATGTAAGTAAAAAAGAACGGAGGAAGTAAAAAGAAATAAAGATAGGAACCTATGTGATAAGGAGAGAGAAAGAGAGAAAACATGTTCAAATAAGAAAATGTTGTAATATTTGTAAAATTTTAAAATGGTAATTATTGCAATACCTAAGAACAAAGGATGTATGAAGTACTCTACTTCGTACATAATATTATTGTGCACCATACAAATTACTTTTAGAAATAGCTAAGGTACCCAAATTTGAAAATGTGGACAACTGTGATTGATGTAGTTAGCGAACAGTGAGAACAATTATTATTGTTGGATACAAATATACAAAAAAAAAAAAAATATTAGGTTCATCTTCTCTCAAAGGTGTACTTAGCAAGAATGAATGAACTATATATGAATATTAATAAGATTAATGTTACTCCCCTAAATGCAAAGATGTAACGGTGCTCGGGTGCATTTTAAACGGGCAAACTACCAACTAGAAATTCACCGTAGACAACACCCAACAGGGCCGACACATACCCCAAGTCATACACTAGTAGCTGAGTTCAAGAACAATGAAAGAACAATAAATAATCGATTGAACTTTTTCAATCCATTTAATTGTTGCAGCAGATACAAATTGAGTTTCCCTTTATGCTTCGTACATTATATATGTAACATTCATTTACAATTGAACCATAATGAATCAACAAAATTAAGCATAAACAAGAATAGGTCCCAACTCGCAACATAGAAATACACTGGCCACCTCCAAAGGGACCTGCACCAGTTAAGATTTGACAAAGCAGTAGAATTCCCACAGGAAAATCCGTTGAAATGTCTATCGTTTAATGCAAGAGGCAAATCAGCTGCTCGAATTAATGGGACTTGAAGAACCATACAACTTGATGTAGGCGTAACATTCAAAAACCACTTAGATGACAAAATGGTCGATCATATGTTGGATAACATCTGCACCTTCTGTGTGCATGTAATGCTCTTTTACCTGTAATCAGGAACACAAAATTAAATCGAAGTGAACAACTTAAAAAAACAGTCGATTCTCGAATTCTGCTCTGAAGTCTAGGATACTGGAAGGGGATATGCCTTGTTTTACAAGGAATATAATCCTTTCAACCAGAGAGCGTGAATTTTACATAAAGTTTAACTAGCATGCATAATCATATCAAGGAGCTATCTTCCTACTAGAGCACAGCAAGCTTTGATAATTGATATTTATCTATAAAATCATTCAATGCTACAATCATCAATTAAAAATTAAAAAAATAAACAATCAATTCCATAATCTGGTCTGTTTTTTCTAAGTTATCAAGTTCCAAAACTTAGTCTGACAAAAGCTACAAAGTTCTATTTTCCCTGATAAACCTAGATATGGTTGCATTTGCGTACTGTGTGGACTAATCAGAAACATAATAGCAATTCTTTGTGGACAATGCATCAAATGATGTCTCCTGATGAGTCCACGTTCACACTATTTTGAAAGAGGGAATGAATTCTTGAACTAATCAAATTGACAAGCAACTAGCTTTGTTGGGTATACAAAATTGGAAAAGATGAATGGATTAGAATTCCTACAGTATGTTTAAGCAAAGCAGCTTAAGGAGACATCCCTGATAAAGACTAAAAGAGTTACAAGCATTTAACAGTCAGCCTCAGCAATATAATGGTATTCTCAAGCACATATCAAAATCTTTAGTGTGCAGTGTGCACCCACCTTAGAAATTAAAGCTATCTATAACAATTATGCAGGAATCGACTCATAGATCCAGCCTAAGTCTTGTTAAATTTCAGGTTAAACATACATGTAATACTGAACTACTCTTCTACAATCAGAGACAAACAAACAAAAATACGCACACACAGACAACTATACACAATAGGCTAGAAGGAAAGTGAGAATGAATGACCTGTATCACGCTATGGGCTGCAAACCTCAGTCTACTGCTGTGGAAGCTGACATCAACCTTTTCCCATGGAACACGAGATAAACCTGTCACAAGTTCCTCTGCAAATAAAAACCCAAAGCAAAAGATTCAGGTGACTGAAAAGGCAGAATTCACGACAGCTGGAAGCAGGAAATATATAAAGAAGTAAAATAAAATGGCTCCCCTACTTGAGTACACCAGATCCAAAATAGTAGAATGAATTCACTTGAAAAATGTTTAATGCACTAGTACATAAATACGATAAAGTCATTGCAGACTAGATAACTTGCACAAATCTCCATGTTCGAGGGGTTGTTTTCATTATGTTTGCATGAAGTGAAAGAGATAAAGAGAGTGATTGATTCACACTCCAAAAGGAATTAGAAGGCAAACAATGTAGCTTAGTGCATGAAGTTTATAGGTTCACAGATATGCAAGTTCATATTTCATTTAATTACATCTTACTATTAATACCATATAGCCAATAGGTTATGGATTTTGTTCAAAGAATGCGTATACAAAACAGAAGATCAAGCTCATGACTAATTTGTATTCTAAGAAAGACCCCTATGACCCTCATATCCACACCATGATTACATCTTAGTATAAACATGTTAATATCCCCTTGTACCATAATCTTTGATTTCCTCCACACAATACTGCCACATGTTTTTTGACTGGATAACGGTCCCCTCATCCTAAGCCAATATCAAAGTCTGGTCAGACAGAGAAAGAATCTCAGGCTGCTAAAAAGATAAGCCCCAGTCTCACCTCTTTTCAAGTCACTAATTCACTATGCAAGGTTTGGTTGCACATACTCCGGATAGAAAAGGGAACCCCCCCCCTCTCTAAACAAATTCACCAAAAAAGAAAAAGAGAAAGTCAAAAGAAGCGAGTGATGAAAGCAGACACACACGCGCGCATACGGAACAAATAGGCTAGATGACTAAGACAAGCTTGAAATCAAACCGCAAAGTACACTTCAAATCAACCTTCTATTTTGTCACAGCATTGATCTTCTTCTGATGCAGTTTGATTAGGTTCACGGGCTTCACAAAGTTCCTCATAGACTATATGAGGGTATTTCTCATTAAGTGAATCTTCCCACTGGCCAGAATGATTTATGTGTCAGTCACACCATAAAAAATTTTAATATAAATAAATACACATATAATAATAGAATACAACACAAAAAAGACAGTCAATACCTTAGGTAATTCACTCATACGTCTGATACAAGATGTTCTCCAGCCCACAATATCTTAAAAGGTCATAGTAAAAGGAGACAAAAGTAATAAAGATAATACCGACAATCACAAAAACAGTAACTATAAGGTACATGAATGACATGAGATTCCTATAACACTGAAAGGATACGATCATATCCAACATTTGAATATGCCACTCTACGTCTAAATGCCCGCAAAGCTGATCTGCACCAAAGGCCAGCACACCGTTTTCAATTCACGCTCGTGCAGTAAGGACAAAGAAATACAAACAAGATATATAAATAAATTTACAACACATACATGAAACGATATTCACTATTGTCTTCCACCATTCGTTTAAGCAATGGAGGCTTCCCTTCATCATCCCCATCAGTCAAGAAAAGATGTCTACCTGTTTTTCTAAAGATCCAATGAATCACAAGGCCAGCAACCTTTTCAATAGCAGTCACACCAAAGAGGAATGGTACCTACAAACCCAGCAATAGATAAGAATTGTATCAACCAACAAGCTTACATTACATTAAATTCATAGAAATACAAGGAGGATGATAATACTGATAACTATAAGGGAATTAGCAGACTTGTCATCATATGCATGAGTCAGACACAAATAAAGGGAACCGGTACAATAAGACAAGATACATGAACCAAGAGGGTAAGGGGATGAGGGGGTAAAGCATGAATGTCAGTTGCGCTGCAACCTGCAAATCCATCAAGAAATGCCTTTAAAAGGCCGAAATTTGAATCAAAAAAAGATGTGGGAGAATGCATTGGATCAAGCACGAACACAACGCCATAAGTTTATTCCACGGAAATTAGGTCTATCCCATCGAAACCCAGAAAGCATAAATCACCAGAAACACAGCCCTATTGAGGATGTTTCTCTTTTGTCTTCAACATAATAGACATCATACTTCATCTCTGTAGGTGTCTACAATCTCTACTATTGTTCTCTTGACTACAGAGTCTAAACAGTCTCTTCTTAATACATTTAGCACTTAGCAGGTTCGCTTTGCAAGAAGAGATAGGTTCAAGTCCTGCATCCTTGTATACTATCTGAATTCTAGACCTAAACCCTTATTGCAGACACAAAAGATAACCGAACTGCCAAAAACTTTACTGAGTTTGAGACAAGACCTAAATAATATTATTTCTAAAAGAGATTCTTGGATACATCATAAAACAACACCTAGGAACACTAAGAAGATCCATC